TACTCCTTTCCCAGTTTTGAACCAATCAGTTGTTCCATATCCAGTTCTAACTGTAGCTTTCTGTCCCACATATAGATTTCTCAGGAGATAGATGAGGTGGTCAGGCACTCCCATTTATTTAGGACTTGCCATAGTTTGTTGTGGTCGACACAGTCAAAGGCTTTTGCATAGTCAATGAAGCAGAAATAGATGTTTTTCTGGAACTCTCTGGCTTTCTCCATAATCATCTGAACTGAATCCAGTCATTCCCGTCCATTTTAGTTCACTGATGCCCAGCATGTCAATGGTTATTCTTGCCATCTCCTGTTTGACCACATCCAGCTTACCAAGGTTCATTGATCTTACATTCCAGGTTCCTATGCAGTATTTTTCTTTGCAGCATCGGACTTTCCTACCTGAGCGTCCTTTCGGCCTTGGCCCAACCATTTCCTTAACTCTGGAGCTGCTTGCACTTGTCCTCCACTCTTCCTCAGTAGCATGTTGGATGCCTTCGTATCTGAGGGGCTCCTCTTCCAGCGTCATATCTTTTAGCCTTTTGTTTCTGTTCATAGGATTTTCTTGGCAAAGATACAGGAGTGGCTTGTCAGTTTCTGCTCCAGGGGGATCGTTTTTGGGCACTACATATGTGATCATTTAACAAATTCACACACTGGGATAGCTCTGTAAGAAATAACAGAGATAACCTATCAAACTAAATAGTGGGCATGTACTAGTGAATTATTAAATACATACAGGAAAAATATAAATAAATAGCAGAAATAATGTATGTCTGCCATACGTCAAAAGGATTACGGACAGCATGGGGAAACTTTTGAAAAAACACAGCCTACGAACAGTATTCAGGCCCACCACAAAATACAACAAATGTTACGGTCAAATATCCCTGCATGGCATAGCTCATTAGCTTATGAATTACTCAAGCATTTTCGCCACGACAAGGCAACAATCCATGAAGGGGATCTGTAAATGCAAAAGAACCTTAAAAGGTGTTCAGATAATTGGGCACTACATATGTGATCATTTAACAAATTCACACACTGGGATAGCTCTGTAAGAAATAACAGAGATAACCTATCAAACTAAATAGTGGGCATGTACTAGTGAATTATTAAATACATACAGGAAAAATATAAATAAATAGCAGAAATAATGTATGTCTGCCATACGTCAAAAGGATTACGGACAGCATGGGGAAACTTTTGAAAAAACACAGCCTACGAACAGTATTCAGGCCCACCACAAAATACAACAAATGTTACGGTCAAATATCCCTGCATGGCATAGCCCATAGCTTATGAATTACTCAAGCGCTTTCGCCGCGACAAGGCAGCAATCCATGAAGGGGATCTGTAAATGCAAAAGAACCTTAAAAGGTGTTCAGATAATTGGGCACTACATATGTGATCATTTAACAAATTCACACACTGGGATAGCTCTGTAAGAAATAACAGAGATAACTTATCAAACTAAATAGTGGGCATGTACTAGTGAATTATTAAATACATACAGGAAAAATATAAATAAATAGCAGAAATAAAGTATTTCTGCCATACATCAAAAGGATTACGGACAGCATGGGGAAACTTTTGAAAAAACACAGCCTACGAACAGTATTCAGGCCCACCACAAAATACAACAAATGTTACGGTCAGCAAAGGATAAAAGGGACCCACTCACCATTGCAGGAGTATACCGGATACCTTGCAGTTGTGGCCAGGTATATATTGGTAGCACAGAAAGCAGCATCCACACCAAAATCGAAGTACTTGAGAGACACTGCAGACTAAAACAACTGGAAAAATCAACAGTAGCTGAACATGCCCTGAAAGAAGCTGGATATGAAATTCTATTTCAAAAGACAGAAGTACTGGACAACACCAGAAATCATTATGTTAGACTGCACATGGAAGCCATTGAAATCCACAAACACCAGCATATTTAACAAAAAAGAAGAAAATCTAAAACTCAACAAAGACTGGCTCCCAGCAGTGAAAAATAAAGTCTGCAGAAGGCCAACAAACTCTACCCAGCTACAAGGACCGGTCAATGCACACAAAAGACCAGCTAACGATACTCATCAATCACAGGGACAGATCATCTCTCCCCCTTATCACAATAATACACCGACAGTAAAAAAAACATGCTGATCACCACAATCGCCCAATCTCCTGAAAAGGAGAAAAAGCTGATCCCACAGCTGTAAATACTCAACTATCCCACAAACTGCACCAGAAAACAGACAGAGTTCTGACCCCTGTCCTCTGAAGATGCCGGCCACAGAGACTGGTGAAACGTTAGGAAGGAAAACCTTAGAAACACGGCCAAACAGCCTGAAAAACCTACAACAACCTAATACCAGATTCTACATACATTGAACAGGTATGAATGCCATACTCTGTTCAGCTTTTCATTAATATAGCTTAACTATAATTTATGTTCTATTCTAAGAGCCGTTTGGTTTCACCCAAGAAATATTACAGTAGCTCTGTGACATCATGGCCATTCAAAAATGGATATACAAGATGATGATAATCTGATTAATAGAAGGATACTAAATGCACATCCTTTCACACTGGTTACATGGCATATTGTAATGAAAACATCTGGTTTTTATTTTGTCTTTGCTGTTGGGCATATTTTTAGGTCATGACAGTTGTGTGGAACTTCTTCTGGAGCAGGAGGTTTTCCAGAAAATGGAAGGAAATCCTTTCAGCCCGTTACATTGTGCAGTGTAAGCAAGCTATGCATGATTCTAGTCCATTTTACTACAGCTTTTAACCAGAGTTCAGTTATTGTAGAACTAATTGCTTGTTAATTTTTGATAGGATAAATGATAACGAGGGTGCTGCAGAAATGTTAATCGATACCCTTGGTTCTGGCATTGTAAATTGCACAGATGCAAAAGCAAGGTAAGTTTGGAGTTCCTAAAAAATGATAGGGAAGTGGGTGGAAGGATGGGTGAAATGGAATAATGTGGAGCTGGGCTGGGCCCTGGCCAGGAGCTTTCCACAATGCACTGTTTTGTTACAGGTCAATTTTCTTTTCTCTTGACAGATTCATAAATCATAACTTCTGACTTTTTAGCTATTTGTCATAACTGTATTATGTATATGTTGCCTCCGACGCATTTTTGGTATCACCTGGCAGGACAAAATTCCAAGTAGAGTAATCCTAGAATGAGGTGGAATTTTTAGCATGTAGATATGTTGGCTCAGGCATGTTATGAGAATGGATGATGGTCAGATTCCAAAAGATCTCCTGTATCGAGAATTAGTGTAGGGAAATCACCCCAGAAGGAGACCACAGCTGCGATACAAGGATATCTGCAAGCGGGATCTGAAGGCCTTAGGAATGGACCTCAACAGATGGGAAATCCTGACATCGGAGCATTCAGCCTGGAGGCTATTTGAAGAGACCCTTGTCCAGCAGGCTGAGGGAAAGAGGCAGTCTCGAAAGTAGCAAAATCAGGGAGCTGGAGAGCGGACAGGTTGTACAGTGGTGCCTCACATAACGAGTGCACCGTTTAACGACGAATCCACATAGTGATCTATTTTTTGCGATCGCATTGCGATGTTTTGAATGGGAAAAATCACATTGTGATGATCGGTAAACGTTTCGCTTACTGATCTTCGCATTGCGATGTTTTTAGAACAACTGATCGGTGGTTCCAAAATGGCTGCCGGGTGCCCAAAATGGCCACTGCAAGCATTTTCGCGTGGTTTCCTCGCTTACCGAGGCGGTGAAAATGGCGGCGCTATGGAGGATCTTCACTGAACGGTGAGTTTTCGCCCGATAGGAACGCATCAAACAAAGTTTAATGCGTTCCGTTC